TCTTGTGGATCACTTCCCCCCCTCCATAGGAGAAGGCGCAGGCTACGTCCTTGACAGTCTTTGACAACCATTTGGTGCTTGTTGGGTAGCGTAGAAGCTACAATTCTGCTAAGCCGCTGCACTTGGTCTCCTAAGCGCAGTCTATCCACACAAGCACGACTGATGAAATTTTGTCTAGAGCCTATGTTTGCGAAGGCGCCAACCTTGCGGCCACCTACATCTACTTCTACCACGAAATGTTCACCCTTTGGACCTCTACTGATCATCGCCCAAGAGTCCCTGGGGCCCTTCCCTGACCACTCAGTCTCTAACTCTTCTAGGGCCTCAGACACATCTCTCAAACAGAGCGTCGGTGGGTCTGAATGTGTCTGCGGGGCGATGTGTGGRTCWCTAGCCTTGGCCAACGCCTGAAGTGGGGAAGGCAACGTTACCACTTCAGCACGAGTAAGAGCGACCAACACTCCTACTAGCCCGAGGTGTTTCCCTGTGAGTTGCTCTCAGAAACACTCCCAGGATTCGAAGATAAGCCCACCACCGTTGGTGAGGCTACCTTCGTGGTGACCTTGCTGCGACAAGTCCTGGACGTGTGGCCATAGTTGCCACAGTTCATGCGTGTGCCCCTGGCAACTCGGTCCCTCCACACCTCGTAATCCAAACCAAGCTTTACCCATGCGGGTGTCCCTTGGTCGCCCTGACCCGTGGACCGTCCTACCTTCTTCTTCCCGGTCCCCCTAGCCTTTTCTTTGATGGGTGCCACGACTCCACCATCTGAAGTCTCACCAGCCCCATCCTGCTCTGTCAACTCCCCAAGGTCTGGGAAATCGTCAATCAGAGTCGTTTGACCATCGTGGTCAACGAACATTAACTGACCCTTCTTCTTCCAGTCTTGGGGTAGTCTCTTCCTACCATCATGAGATGCCCTATGCGCGGACCCCAACTTTGCCTCTATGTCCAGAGCTTTGTTACTAAAAGAAGCGAAGGTGTGCTGTTCAACATAGGCCTCATCAACCAGCTTGGTCCTTACCTCTGCAGGTAGGCACCTTGTAATCCGTCAGGAGAACCTGCTGGTCAAAACGCACACCAGTTACCACGAGAAGGCGTTCCACAGTGTCCGTAAGCTCTCTAACATCCTTGAACCTGCGGGAACAAAGGTTGTTGATAGCATCGGTGGCCTTTTGAGCCCCTTGCGGGTCATGCCACCTGTTGTAGATGGACCGTACGAACTGTTCCAATGTTTGAGCCTGAGCCCAGGCATCGAAATCCTGACCATAGCCCTGTTGCTGCACTAAGCCATTCAACCAGCGGGCTGCTGATCCCTCTAAAAAGGAGGCAGCCACTACAGCTTCTTGCTCTGGCCTGGTGAGCTTGTGCCTCACATAAGTAGGCACAGTCCTCACCCAGGTGTCAAAGTCCTCTTCCTTCTTCCTATCTCCAGAGAAGGGCTTGGGACTCATTAGAGGTATCGTAGGCATCCACTGCATAGGCTGCATGGGCCCAGGGGCTTGCTGCAGCGGTTGCATAGCCACTGAAACAGGCTGTTGCGTACTAACCTGGGCCTGGCTTGACAGTGGGACTGTAGTTACCACTGTCGTGGATGGTACGACTGAGACTCTTTGAACCGGACCACTAGTTGCTACTAAACCACTTGGAGGGGGTATGCCAAACATAGGAGAGAAAGTTGACCCTGTGTGTTGCGGCATCGATGAAGGACCCGCACCCGCTGGGGGAACTACAGCAAACTGTGGCTGCCTCACCGCTGTGGGAGGAGCCCAAAGTTCAACCATGATTTGTTTCAGGCCTGCCACCAATTCGGCCAGCAATTCCTGTTGGACGTTTTGCACTTCAGCCACTGAAAGTAAAGCATTACGCAGCACACGACCAGCAGGGTCTAATGCTGCTTCATCTAGTCCTTCTAGTCTGCCTAACTCCTGCATTCTACTCCCTAGTCTAGCCTTTCTAAGTATAGCTTTCCTTCTCCTCTCTGCTGCTTCGTCCAGCTGCCGCTGTAGCTCATCCTGAAGGTCTTCTGCTTGACGGATTTCCAAATCCTCCGCCGTGAGTTGAGTTTGCTGGCTGGTCTTCTGCTTGACGGATTTCCAAATCCTCCGCCGTGAGTTGAGTTTGCTGGCTGACTCGCAAGCTAGCAATCTGACTAATGGTTCCCTGAGAACCACTCTGACTGACTCCTGACGAAATGGACTGTGTAGACTCATGAGTGGTTCCCTGAGAACCACTCTGGTGCCCTCGCTCTCCTTGCCGCTGTTCTCTCTCTAGCCTCTCTCCGCAATCTTCTCTCGCCTCCTGGACCCAACTCCAAGAATGTCAAGGGTCGACTGCGGGCAGTCTCGCGAGTAGTCCTACGGTGGTCCATTAGTTACTCCTCCTCACTAGTGCTCGCATCACTCATGAGCTACAGTGTGTGTGATCTAAACTAGAATCCACACTGAATCTTACCTTAGCCTGACATACAACCGATTATGAACGACAACTACTTTCGGTCGGTTGGAACAAAAACAGTTAGGTGATATAGTAACAACTAATGTCAGGTCCTACAGGATATATTAAATCTATTTTTAGATTACCTTAGAACAGATTGCAATACAACAAAGATCTAATCTGTCTGTAGCTGTCTGTCAGTTGTTAAACAAGTCTGTAACAACTAGATAATCAAAATAAAAATAACATCTCCTGTTGGAGATGTATGCTTGATGGCAGATTGTCTGTTGATAGCCACTGCGAACAGTTACCGAAATCCCCCCTCCCCCTGTATCCTTCTTGAGTGGTCTCTTTGTGTCAACGTTCCTGAGCATCTGGTTGAGCAGCGTGTCTGAAGGTGTGCAATCCGGCCCACCCCTGTGTCCCAAGTCATTGCCGAACATGCCAGCCAGTCCACTCTTATTTATCCTCGTACGGAACGAGCCTTACCACCCGGTTTGATCTGGCTGATCAGGAGGGATTTAAGGAGAGCCCCCATCTCCTCAGGAATTATTTAACGTCGCAGACAGGACGACGATCACAGCCAGAATCAACACCGAGTCCACAGCCAGAAATATTTATAGACGGTCTGGTAGGCGTCTCATTAAAGGCTGGCATGCCCTGCACAACCTCTATTGCGCAAGCAGCAGTACCAAGGACTTGCTGCCCAAGCATGTGTGTACTAGTCCCAGCGGGTTGGCATGGTGACCGTGACCCGAGTGCTTCGTCCATGGCCCTTCAGAGGCTTCGCCCGTCTCCCACCAGCTTGCTGCCCAGGAAGAATGTCGACTCTCAAGGTTGAGCGCATGCGACACCTCACATCGAGAGGACTCTCAAGACAGGACTCACTTCCTCACGGCAAGAAGAGATGAAGAGGGTAGATAAAAAAAAGAGATCAATGTACCTCATAAATGCTGCCCCCAACCACAGATTTCTCACCGGTAACCTGATGTGCAATTATGATGACCGGTCTTTGCCTCAGCACAACCAACAGCAGAATGCGGTTCCACCTCGGCTTAATATGCCACATCAGCGAGTTCTCATCATCCAGCATACATCCCGTATGTCACCACATAGCTCCCTGGCGCGCCCACACAACCCTGGGCCGTCTAACGTTCAACGCCAATGCCTTATCAGTGCCCCACACCTCATGCGAAGCACCAATATCTATTGCGAAGAACCAATGAAGCGCAATATGAACCAGCTCTGATACCAAATTGCAAGGAAAATGAGCAACAGCGAGATGACAGTTCCAGTTCACACCATCACATTGAAAGCCAGATAGTCACACCGTGTCCAGAGAGAAGCATTGCACCAATAATACACCAATGGAGGTTCGTAGCACTGAAAACCAATGTTCATGGAGAGCATACTCTCTCCTCCCAACACAAGAGTCCAGTTCCTTCACACTCACACTTGGCGCTCAGCGCCCAGCCTACTCCAACACAGCTACTACAGACTACAAAAAGACAATGCAACTGTTGACATCAGCGGCAGCCCAAAGTACTTGAAGATGTCGCCCATGCAGACCATCGCCAATACAAGGTAAGTGCCCTCACATCATCATCATCATCATCCTTCACCTATCCCYTGACTACACCCACRTCTGTCCTCTGTTTCACCCGAAGACCACCCCTGCGCCTCACTGTAGTCCAAGCCCACCAGCTATGGTGGCTGGGCTATGGCGCTGCCCTCAGCAGCRYCCTTCTTCCCTGCACGACCGCACGTGCTGCACCTCGCCTCTCAGCGCCAGCCAGCAGCCGCGAGCTTTTGCTCCAGCAGCGCTGCCGCTAGCATGCGAGTGCCTGAATGAGGCTGCCTGGCCAGAGCTCTTTCCTTTATGGAAAGAACTGTCCTGCTCGCGCAGCCTGGCTGGGCTGGCCTGGGCCCAGAAGCTTCCGGAAGGCCCCAGGAGCCTGCCTGGATGCAGCAGCTACTGGGCTGCTGGCCCCCGTTCGGTTTTGCGCCCAACTCTCTGTATGAGGCTGTGAATCACGCCCAGGGCCTGCATTCTTTGGAAAGGCCCGGAAGGCCGTGGAAATGTCTCTGTTGCTCGGCCTGTGTTTCTTTCAACTGGCGCGTCGCAACTGCCTGGACCCCAAATATGAAATTGACAGTCGAAGGCCTCTTGCAAAAAGCCAGGCCCGCCTTCACTTAGGGCGGGCACCTCCGCCTTCACTTAGGGCGGGTAAGGCTGCAAACAGGGCGCCATAGGCCTACCGAGGACCCTGATCCTCGCAGGGATGCAAACATTCACAATACCTCTGCATTCTCTGTCACTCGACAACTTGTACCGGGAACCTTTTGTTTTGTCACTCATCGTATCTGGAACACCCTCCCTCCTTGCAGAGCACTCCTGTGCTGCAAGTTCTTTTTTTGGCTACTCAGCCTACTTTTTCTTTTCCTGGTAAGATGGTGCCTGTATTTTGCGCGTCTGCCCAGTATGGTCAATTATAATCGAAATATTTGGCGATTATCATTTAGCATTTGGTGTTTACCGTTGTCTTATTATCTGAACTTTGCAGGGGAGTATGTGGTGGTCCCCGTGTACAAAGGGGAGCATACAGTGTTTGACGTTTCTCCTCAGAGCCAAAAGGTGGTGGTCGGACATGGGAAAACAACAGTGGATCCTCCTTTTCAGGTCAGTGTTTCCTTCTCCTCCCTCCCTACCCCCTTCCCCCTCCCTACCCCCTTGGCTGGGAGGGGGGAGGGATGGAGAGGGGGTGATCTTAAACAAAAGGTGGTAAGCCATGACATTTATTGCTTTCACAGTACGCACTACGTACATGCTTCAACATTTTCGTCACTCGATTTGTGTTTATAACTTAATATCCTAGTGACCCCCTTTTGCGGAAGGCGGTCATCCCCACACCCGTAGTTTAGGCGCCACGCAGGTACATGTCAGATTTTTCAGATACAGATTCAAATAGTAGTTTCAGTGTTTGAATATGTGCTGCGACTCCTGGGATGTGCTGTTTTATCTCTCTGTCAGATGATGTCATCTTGACCGTCAGGTCCCGTCTGATTACTCTGCGTTGTCTCCCTGGTGGCATTCCTTTTTTTTCTTGTTCTTTTTTTCAACGAACAGATTTGGACCGTTTGTCGTTTTATGAATGTCATTTTCCTTGCCAAGGAGCCATTTGCCAATTGCCCTTCTCTGTATCATTCCAATTTTAATGGAGGTCCCCGAAGTGCATTCCTCATCTGTCTAGTCTCTTTCTTTTTTTTTTTTCAGAAAATGAAAGATCAAATTGCCATCATGTTCACATCAGTCAACTAACTTGTTTCTTATGGTGTAGACTGCACCATGCATTGGTTGGCTGCTTGTTTGCTTTCTCATTCTTCTGTTTTGCACTGTCTGGGCCTCACTCCACTACCCACCACCTGCATGAAAGACGAAAAATATGGCGGTGTATATTTCCATGCACTGTCTGGGCCTCGCTCCACTGCTCATTTTGCACATTTGTGGACTAGTGGACCGAGACCCTCTGTCGATCTTCTTGCCGGATGCTGCTCCTGATGACTTTGTATCTCCTCTCCAGGTTGCCCTGTGTTTGTTGTACAGCATGTACAGCAAGCCGGAAATTGTCACAAAATTGGTACTTTTTTTTTTAATCACTGTGCCCACTTCTGTGTGCACATATGTGGGGTCGAATGATTTTCAATCAATTTGAAATTTTCATTGTAATTAATTCCATGGGATTCACACATCATTTGCTGCGAGTATGTGCCCTCTGGAAAGCACAGTGCGTCCCCCCTGCACTTTCTTCGTAGGTGGTGGTAGCCTCGTGATGGGACCCGTGGTAGCCTCCTGATGGGACCTGCAGTGTGGAGGGGGGAAAACACGTGCAATGAATCGCAAGTCAATCACCGTCAACCTCGCACACACATGCAATGAACATCAGGATGAGTATTCACACTTGGAGGCAATAGCCGAGAAACAAGAATCTCACAAGAGATTGATAAGCAAAATATCTTTATTATACAAAAGAAACTGTTCATGCAAGGAAAATGAACAAATGCGAAATGACAGAAATCCAGAATGCAAAATCACATTGATAGCCAGAAAATCCAACGCTGTCCAGAAAGCAGAAATGCATTGATATTCCACCAATGGAGCACCAAAGCACCGAATCCGAATGTCAATGAGAGCATACTCTCGCCACCACCAGCATATGTATCCAGAGCCTTTCCCCTTACTTGGCGCTCAGCGCCCAGACTACGATCACACAGCTACTACCAGCCTACGAATTGACAATGCATCCTGTTGACGTCAGCAGCAACAACCGAAGTACATGAAGATGTCAACTCAGTAGTCCATCGCCAAGACCAGGTACGTGCCTTCACATCATCAACCTCATCTCTCTCTCTCTCTCTCTCTCTCTCTCTCTCTCTCTCTCTCTCTCTCTCTCTCTCTCTCNCTCTCTCTCTCTCTCTCTCTCTCTCTCTCTCTCTCTCTCTCTCTCTCTCTCTCTCTCTCTCCCCCCACGTCTTTTTCCCCATACACGAAGACAACCACCATCTGCACCTCCGCTGGCTATCCAAGCCAAGCCCTGGCTATGACAGACTGGCTATGGTGCTGCCCTCAGCAGCGCCCTGCCTTCTTCCTTGACGCTCGGGAGCGCCGGGCATCCACTAGCGCACAGCAAGCAGGGTGCAAGCGCACGCTCCAGCATCTCTGCTGCTTGCGCAAGCCAGTGCCCTGAATGCCCTCTCCCTGGCGAGCTCTTTCCTATATGGAAAGTGCTCGCCCAGTTTGCAGCTGGGCTTCGACGCGCTTGTGCCCTTTAGCTTCACGTTGGGCCAAAGTGTCTGAGCCCAGGCCCGTTCAGACAGTGGCTGGGAAAGAATTGGTTAGGCGTGCCCAACCACCCAGGCACAAATGGGTGGTCTTCCATGCTTCGACCACGTTGCTGGAAAGCCTGTAAGCCTCACAAATATTTCTGATTGTCACGAGCGAAGCGGATGTAACCAACTGGCGCGTGGCAACTGTCTGGCGGGCACTAAGACTTGCAAAAATTGACGAGTTCAGGGCACATTGAGATTCAGGGGGTCCGCCTTCACTTAGGGCGGGGATGCGCCCACTAAGATTTGCAAAAATTGATGAGTTCAGGGAACATGGAGATTCAGGGGGTCCGCCTTCACTTAGGGCGGGAATGCGCCTGCTGCAAGACCTTATGGTAAACCCTCATGCTCCCTCCTCTTCTTCGATAGTCATCTTAGAAGTCCTTATACAACAGGCTGCTTCCCTTTCAAATTCCTTTCGTAACTTGAGATAACCTGCGGAGCAGTCTTCATTAATTCTTCTCTTCTAAACCACTGATCTTCTTTAGAATCAGTATGATGTAGGAAGCACACTTGATACTGCATCTGCAGTTTAGGAGGGGGTCCCCTGCCTGGAGGCTTGGGCACAGGCATCAGCTTGTGCTCAATGATATCATCGATGTCCACATGTTCGTCCATGGTTGGGAGCAGCATTGATCTTCTTGAGGGAAATTGTTCAGTTCCAGCGAAAGAAGCTGACTTGGATGCGTGGAAAACAGGGTGTGTATGAAGGTGACCAGGGATGCGAATGAAATATGATGGACCATCTTGCAATCAGACTCGCTTTCACTTCCTCTTCACATACATGCAAACAGATGGAGATTCACACTGGCGCAGGGCGCCCACTTAGAGCTTAGAGATATGGAAATCAAGAACACAGTTCAGATGCAAGTTCACTTCAACAGGCTATGGCGCATCGGCGCCTGAACATCCCAACCTTCGTCACTGTGTCCAACCCCACTGTTCACACACGCACTCTGGATCACCCTGAATACCACCACATACACACACTTAATCTCACTTCCTCCTACAGCGGCTATGGCCGCACTATCACTACTGACTATGGCTACGATCTCCCTTCAGCCCACTTCGTCTTCGGGCGGCCTGCAGACCACCTTCGCACAAGACGCTGTAACAGCACTTCCGCATGGCTTACGCAGCGAATGAATGAATGACTGGGCGCTGCCTCTTGATTTATACTTCTGTAACTTGTTGGTCTGCCCCTCTCCACCCAGCCTATGGTGCACACAGTCCCTCATGGTACTTGCTTGACTGGACTGGGACTGACTGGACCGGTACCGCTGACAGCATGGGTTTGGATTGCCAACTCAATGCAGTCGCACTGCCGACGTAATGCAGCTTGGCTCAGCACTTGCCCACTTGCCTCTGACTAAAATGTGAGGGAGCTTCGAAAGGCCACTTCCGGACCTTCCAGAAGCCTGTGGACTTGGCCTTTCGAGTACTATATAGCAGCTACGACCTTGACCTTTCAGAATTCCTACAGCTACGGCCTCTACAGGGCTGTGACACCTACTCGACAGACCTACAGGTTAAGCCCTTCAAATGGTCTACGTGGTTTGAAATTCTTATGCAACTCGTTGGGAGTGCGACAAGTAGCTAAATGCACACTATTGGTATATGCACTGGCTACCTTTGGGAGCATCTCATCCCCATTGACTTGATCCGGTCTAATGTGCATATGCAGAACTTGTTGCAGGATCTTATTCATTTGTTCAGTCTGACCGTTAGTCTCTGGATGACGGCCAGATGAGATCAACAACTTAGACCCATAGACTCTCATCAACTCTTGCCAGTTCTGCCTCGTGAAACGGGTGTCTCTATCACTAACTACAGACAATGGAATCCCGTGTTCACTGACCCAATGATCAAAGAACTTTTGGATTACTAAATATGTGCGTGCCTCCGCAGGCAGAGAAACAAAAACTGCATACTATCGACTATAACCATGACTTGGCTCTTGTCGTGCCTACATTTGACATGGGTGTCCATAAAGTCAATGGACACTGAGTCTCTCGACTGGTCAGGAATAGGCAAGGGTCTGAGAAGACCTAGAGGGGCACGCATAGAGGTCTTGTTTCTTTGGCAGACCTTACAACTGCGAACATACTCTATGCAGTCGGCCTTCATCCCATGCCTTATGTACGCGCGCATAAGGTTAGCTAGAGTCTTTTGCCAACCAAAATGTCCGTCAGTATCGCGGCATTCCCCTAGGATCAGACTACGGACTTCCTCACGGTTAGGAACGCACAATCGGTCAACTACGCGAGTCTTCTCGAATAGCAGTCCGTCAGTAGTGCGGTAGCCCGGTTCGGACTCGGGGGCCTCCTTTACTCTCTTGAGGAGGTCACAATAGACAGGGTCCTGCGCATACGCCTCTCTAACTTTTTGTTGCAGGTCTCTCCCTATATCCAAATAGTGAACTATCGCTCCAAAGTAGTCAACTCTCCTACTCAGAGCGTTCGCAACTACATTATACTTTCCTTTTACTGGCTTGAGCTCAAAATCATATTGGTCTAACTCTGCAGTCCACCTAGTAACCTTAGGTGTCATCTTGGCCAGAGTCTTCAGCCACCGTAACGTCTCGTGGCCTGAATAGACTTTAAAGTGCCTCCAAAGCAAGTAGTGCTTCCAGTGTTCTAATGCTTGCCTGAGAGCGTAGAGTTCCCTTTCGTAGGTGGATGTCGCTACCTTCTCCGAAGGCATCCTAGCAGACATGAACTCTACGGGTCTATATCCACTATCATTGTCTTGTTGTAATACAACACCTATACCATACTGGCTCGCGTCAGTGGTGACGACGAAAGGTAAGGAAGGATCGGCCACCTTAAGGACTGGGTACTCTATCAATGCCTGCTTCTTTTTCTTCATGGCAGACGTACAACCCTTGTCCCACTTCCAAATTGTTTCTTTCTTCAGCAACCTACGAAGGGGTGCAACGATGGTGGAAAAGTTTCTCACAAACTTCCTGTAATAATTTGCTAGTCCTACGAACGACCGTAACTCTGTCAACGTGCGCCGTAGGCCAATCTCTAATCGCTGCGATCTTGCTATCTTCTGGCTTAATGTCGTCTTCGTCTAAGATATGGACTAGATGCAAAACTTGGGTCTTTGCCCATTCGCACTTCTTTGCATTGATCTTGAAGTTGGCCTCTCTCAGCTTCTCCAAGACCTGCCTCAGATGACCCTCATGCTCCTGGAGGGTCCTACTGAACGCTAGAATATCATCTAAGTAGACAACTACAAACTTGTCTAACCACGGCCTAAACAAGTCATTCATACAACGCTGAAAAGTTGTTGGCGCGTTGGTTAGTCCAAAGGGCATAACTATAAACTCGTAGTGCCCATATCTAGTCCGTAACGTGATCTTATCCTGATCATCATGATGGACCTCTATCTGATGATATCCATACTTCAGATCTATCTTTGAAAATTACTTGCAACCCTACACCCAATCTAAAATATCATCTATACGGGGCAGTGGGCCCGCGTTCTTCACTGTGATAGCATTGAGACCCCTATGGTAATGCACATTTTAAGCTCTCCCTCCTTTTTTGGGACGAATAGAACATGTGCTCCAAATGGAGACGAACTGGGCCTAATCCAACCCTTCTTTAAGAGTTCATCTAACTGCTTGCGCAACTCCTCCAACTCCCGCGGGGACATCCTATACACTGCTCCTTTAGGAGTCCTACTGTCAGGCTCTATCTCAATGCAATGCTGGATGGGCCGCGGGACTACCCCTGTAGGCGGCTTAGCTAAATCTGTGTACGCTCCCAGCAGCTTGGCAATAACGGGATCTATGGGCTTTTCCTCTTTAGGCTCTGTAACTGGCCTAACATAGGCTACACAAACCTGTTCTTCTAGGTAGCAGCTTGGCAATAACGGGATCTATGGGCTTCTCCTCTTTAGGCTCCGTAACTGGCCTAACATAGGCTACACAAACCTGTTCTTCTAGGTGCTGCTCCTTCACTAACCTCGCAAAAGCAAAAGCGCTAAGGCAGCAATATGCCAGGGAGTTGTCTACTCCTGACACATGAAACAGACGGGCAGTCTTAAGCCCGTCTGACGAACTAGGAAGCCTACACTCATGCTCTCTCAAATGGAGTGTGGCCCCTGTTGCCACTCGCCTGTCCATTCCTAGGACTATGTCAAATGGGAGGTTATCCTCTATGAGGAGAGTCTGGGAATGGAGGACTCTCTCCTCCTTCCCATCTTTCTCTAGGCGGAAGTACGCCTGGGCTCCCTCTACGTAATCTTCTACTCGCATCGTGCGGTTATCTGCGAGGAATGGACAGGTCTGCTAACTTCTGGACTTTCAATCCCAACTTCAACTTTTGCAGCGCCTTTCTACTAATATAGTTGCGAGTGGCCCCACTATCTACGAGGGCCCCTACTCTGCCCCTAAAGACTTCTACGACTACTTGTACCAACTGTCCTCTACTTTCTCTCTTCATCTTGGCCCATGCGGGCATTCTCTTCTTTAGCTCATCAGCCATGCCTATGAGGGAGGTGCTTAAAAAGACTCTAACACATGTCGTCTCTGGAGAGCTATCTAGGCATCAGCCTAAAACCTCTGCCATAGGCGCATGTGGTGTGGGTGTTTTCTGTCGGCTCGCGCTCGTTTCCCCACATGGCCTTATGGTAGGGGCAGTTGCAACCCCTACCGGCAGCTGCCTTTTGACCCCTGGGCAGCCCATCGGGCCTCTCTATACTTAGGACAATATTTGATGATGTGGCCAGGGTCACCGCAATATATGCACTGCCCCTGGTCCACACGCTGTTGCCAGACGCGCTGGTCCAGGCCCAAATCTTCCCAAGGTTGGCCTTGTGGCAGATCTGGGTGCCAACCACTTCTCCTATAGGGTGACCTATTACCCCTATTTGGTGACCTATTTCCGGAATGGTTTTGTGGGGGACCTTGACCGTTACCTTCCGCTTGGCGGTTTCCCCTGCCGCCAACCCCCTGATCGCCTTGGGAACGACCACTCGAGGCTTTGCCCTCTTGGCCTTGGCCTCTACCTCCTCCTTGCAGCCTCCCTCCGGCCGTGACGGCAGCGTAACTCCTCCCCTGGCTAGCGCTACTGTCCACTTCCTCTTCTAGTCCCCACTCTATCTGATCGTAGGGGACTTCATCCATACCACCCTCATCTAGTGTAAGGATCAGGCGATCCTTTGTCCTGACCTGGCCCGAGATGGTACGGCCTTTCCACTTTTTGCCCTTTTCCAGGTCCTTGTGCTAGAAAGTGGAGACTGACATGGACAGTGCTTCGAATGCTACCACTTCCCTGCTCAAAGCATCATAGGTCATGGTAGGCTGCTGACTTTTTTCAAAGAAATGCCCTCGTAGCTGTTCGGGCATAGCACGATATAAGAGGTTGACCAATTGTGTCTCAGTGACCCCATGGTCAGGAACGGCGACCAACTCGTCCATCACACCTTCAAGTGCCCTGGCACTCCTCCACTGGCGAGAATGGATGGTTTGCAGTTTATCTGAAGCTTCGGCACTACGGGTAACGTCTGCAAACCGTTCTCTCAATAACTTAAGGAATTTGCTGAGAGGGGTAAATGTCGAATATGCAACTAAGTCATCGTTGCAATTAGGGGCGCGACACAGGGAACGCACGAAGCTTGCTGCTTCCTCCCCAAGAGCGTGGATAGCTATCAGGACGTGCTCATCTGGGGCGACTTTCTGTAAGTGCACATACATCTTAATATTCACTTCCCAGTTGTCAAAGTTCTCCGCCTCCTTTCCACTATAGGAGTCGGGAAATTTCACTTTGACAGGCTCTCTCTCAGGTCTTGTACCACTTAGCCTCACAGTCTCTCTCTCTCCCTTGGATTGTGCCCTGAATACACCCGCTCAGATCAGACTCCAACCCTGGCGCCTATGCCCACCCTGCTTCCCTATCACTACCCTAGCTATGGCTGTCATCAACACTCCCCTCTTCTTTGAACGTTGTCTTGCCCAAGTTGCTTGTTCACAGAAGCAGCAGCAGCGCTTCCACAACTTCACCAATGAACAAGTGTGTCTTGTTGCTGCACTGTAGCAGCTAAATATCAGAATTGGACTGGGCTTGGCTTGCCTCAGACCGGTACCGGTCAGCTGTGGCCTGTCTGTGACAATCATTTTGTCGGTCCAAAATCTTCCGGGCTTTCCTGGGACTTGCTGCAATTTTGTGAACTGGGACTTTCCGGATTTCTCTATAGGGTTACGGACAGCCTTTACACTACGCAGCCCCCTAGACTTCTCTGCGGGGTACTAGACCCTCGACCTGGCTCTTCCGGATGTTTCCTGGTTCGCGCCTACGGTGTTCGCTCGCCTATCGGACCTACGCCATTTTACAGGCCTACCTATGACATTTTACAGGCCTATCGGACCTGCAACAACTTACAAGACTATCGGGACCTACACCTCGCGACGCTGGGACTTGGGATTTCAGAACCTTCTGGATTTGGAGCCGGCAGCCAGGGGTCTGCAGCTTGAAAGTTAAAATCCTTTCATGTACATGTTTGCTTGGTATTTTTTTGTGGACATAGGAAAGACCTGCTTCTCTGTTGTGTTATTATCTGTTTGCAACTTTGCATCCATGTTTGCATCCACATTGTGTTATTAATACTTATTATCTGTTTTTCTCCGAGCTACAGCAACAGTGAGGCTGCTGTTCTGGCATTTCCTTGAACTCTGAGCCTTAAGCCTTTTCACACTTGCCATCTGGGAACGTACAGTGCATCGCCCATGCACTTTCTTGGTTATGCACTCTGATCCTTGAGCCTTTTCACACTTGCCAGGCCTTGTTGTGGTCCTGGGTCCATGTAATGGATGGTGGTGGGTAAAGAAATATGCCAGGATGTGTGAGTATAAGCTTAAGTCATTACACACACACACACACACACACACACACACACACACACACACACACACAGAGATGTCCTGGTTGCATGTAATTGATGATGGGCAAAGAAATATGGCAGAATGTGTGCGTATGTGCGATGGTCAATATACTGGAATGTTCTGTTTGATGTGGATCCCTGGCCATTTTGTCGTTCGGCTTCTTCTTTGGGGATAATCCAGGTGACAGGTTTCTCAATTGGTGGGTGGGTGAGAGATGGTGCTGGTCAAGGTATCGAAGGGGCCTCAATATTGATCGATGGAGTTGAGCGTGTTGTGACAGATGACACAGGGAAGTACAAGATTGACCAGGTAATTGAAAGCAAACTCGCTGTCCTCCCTGGGCCTGATTTCTGTCTCCTTGGTTTCAGGTTCCACATAGAGTCTCTTCCTCAGAACTGGACCTTCTGATGGCCTACCTTGGGCCTTGGCTGTCGGGTGACCATGGCTCTGCAATTTAATAAGAGGTACTAAGCATACTTGCTGCGCACCTATGCGGCGCACTGCGCCATGCGCTGTGCGCACGTGAATGATGCGTGCGCACAGGTACATGTGCTTTTTTTAATGTGTGTGTGTGTGTGTGTGTGTGTGTGTGTGTGTGTGTGTGTGTGTGTGTGTGTGTGTGTGTGTGTGTGTGTGAGTTGTGTACTTGGAAAAGCCAGCTAGTGCCACACCACAACTCAGGAAACAAGAAAAGAAAAATAGATGTCCTCAATGGACGGCAAGATATGTTGCTGTCTTTTCTTATTAAGGGATGTATGTTGCCGTCTTGTGATGGAGGATGCATCCATTTGGGTTTTGTCACGGGGCTCTAATGCTGTCAGTATCCCGTGAGGGGAAGATGCCCTCTGACAACAGGGGCACCGAAACAGTCCCTCAACGTACAAAATATGGTGGGGGCATCTTTCCACTTTCCAGGGGGAGATGCATTCTCATCTGTTGACACCTGCCCTCAAGAATGTTCTTGTTTTTTCATTTTTTTTTAAGCACAAACATAAAGGGAAGAACATCTGTCGGTCCTGACATTTCTCTGTTTCTTGCAATAACGTCAACAAGAGAATTTGAGTGTCGAGGACGACACCCTCTTCATGACTGTATCGTACCTGAAATTCCATATATGTACACAGGGTAGTTTTGGCACCTACCGCCAGCGCCTACCGTAGTCGGTAGGCATGCCTACCAGTCGGGCCGACCCGTAGGCGGACCCTTCGGCTGTCGGCAGACTGCCTTGCAATTTTAGTTTATTTTTCCTGATTACATGGTCGGCTTGAGGAGAGCAGCCCAAATCCGCAACAATTTTTTTTGGGGGTTGTGGGGGTTATAGGGGAGGTATACGGGCTCACGCTTTCTTAATGATCTGTGCGGCGCTGGGGGTTGTAGGGGGTTAGGGGGCGGTATGGGGGAGTTGGTGGTGTTGATGGGGTTATTTGGGGTTCTGGACCCAGGTTGCCGACTGACCCCCGACCGGTAGGTGCCGACCAGCCGACGGTCGGCGCCAACCGTCGGTGTGGCTACTCTGCATGTACACACAAAGGAGACAATACACACCAACACGGGGAATCCACAGAACCCAAACAGTTTTGGGGAGCGCAGGCCCATTTTTTTTGTTTTTCTTCCTGTTGCAAGGAAAATGAGCAGTAGTGAGATGACAAAGTCCAGAATGCACAATCACATTGAAAGCCAGAAAGTATCAGTGTCCAGAAGGCAGCATTGCACCAATATGACACCAATGGAGAGTCGTAACACTGAAAACCAATGTCAATGAGAGCTTGCTCTCGCCACCATCAACACGAGTCCAGGACCTTCTCCCTACTTGGCGCTCTGCGCCCAGCCTACTTCCTACACAGCTACAATCTGCCTGCTAATTGACAATGCAACTGTTGACGTCAGCAGCCCACGGAGTACTTGAAGATGTCGCTCAATGCAGACCATCGCCAATACCAGGTATGTGCCCTCACATCATCATCATCATCATCCTTCTCTCTCTCCCCTGACTTAACACCCACGTCTTCCCTTTGTACACCTGAAGACCACCCCTGCGCCTCACTGTAGTCCAAACCCCAGCCAGCTACGGAGGCTGGGCTATGGCGCTGCCCCCAGCAGCGCCCTCACTCACACACGACCGCACGTGCTTGCACCTTGCCTCTCAGCGCCAGCAGCAGCCCACAAGCATCCGCTCCAGCAGCGCTGCCGCTAGCATGCAAGTGCCTGAATGCCAGCCCAGGCAGCAAGCTCTTTCCTGTATGGAAAGAGCCTGCCTCGATTGGCGCCCAGGCTGGCCTGGGCCACTGCCCAGAAGCTTCCGGTAGGCCCCAGGAGGCTGTGACTCTGATGCAGCTGCTGGGCCTCCGTTTGGTTGGGCCTCCCCAACTGCTCGTGTATGAGGCTGCGATTCATGCCCAGGGCCTGCATTTCTGAAAGGCCTGGATGGCCGTGGAATGTCTTTGCTGCTCGGCCTGTGTTTCCCTCAACCAACTGGCGTGTCACAACTGCCTGGACCCCAAATACGAGATTGACAGCCGAGGGCCTCTCGTGATTTGTTAGGCCAGCCTTCACTTAGAGCGGGCACATCTGCAACAGGGGCCCCTTAGGCCTGCCGAGGACCCGGATCCTCACATTCCCTCCTCCTTTTCTTCGATAGTCCTTTGAGAAGTCTTCCAATCTGCAGCATCTTTCCCTTGAGTTCTCTTTCATAGCCTGCAATCACTTAGGTGCTGTTCACAGGAGTTCTTCTCTTGTGAACCACCGATCTTCTTTGGGATCGAGATGGTGTCTGAATCTGACACGATACTGCATCCTCGGCTTGGGAGGGCAGCCTCTGCCCGACGGTTTAGGCACTGGCAAAGTACGATGCTCCACGATTCCGTCGATTTCCACTTCACCATCCATGGTTGGGGGCAGCATTGACCGTTTGGAGGGAAATTGTGCAGTCTCTGCGAAAGGTGCCAGCTTTGAGGCGTGAAAAACTGGGTGTGTACGTAGATGAGGTGGGACATGAATTACATAAGAAGATCTGTCTATCCAATCCTCCACTATGTCTAGGACCTCCCACGGACCGAAAAACTGTGGCATCAATTTGCGAGATATGCCCAGCTCTTGACCCAGTTCAGATGATTTGTCCCAGACTCTATCACCTACCTGAAAGTTTGAGGGCTGTCTATGCTTATTCTCAGATGCAATCATAGCGTCCTGAGATTTTTGAATATGCTCTACAGCCTGCTCCAGTATCTGCTGATACTTAACAGCAAACTCTACGCTGCCAGGTGCTGCAGTGGTCTGTCTTTCGGGTAGCAGAAAATCAAGTGCGGTTCTGGGCTTCCAACCAAGATGCAATTGGTTGGGAGTCATACCAGTAGCACTGTGCACAGCATTGTTGTACAGACTGGCCACGAGAGGTATTTTCTCGTCCCAGTCATCCTGACTTGGCTTAATGCCGAAGCAGGTGATGTACTATGTTGATCTGTTCTGCCTGGCCATTTGACTCAGGGTGATTCCCTGACGTCATTTGCAGCTTTGTGCCCATCTCTTCAGCTGTTGATTGCCACAGTTCACTGGTAAATATTACATCCCTGTCACTCACTATAGTCGTAGGGAGTCCAAAATCGCGTACCGAATTTTCCAGAAACGGTTGGATGACGTAATCAGTTTTAGCAGTCTCTGGCATAGTGATAAGTCTTGCATAATTGGAAAAGCACTGTGTCTCTTGCCTGTCCTACTGGTCACAAGAGTATCCCTGAAGTCCATGGACACACTCTGACCAGAACCTTTAGGAATCGGCAAGGGCTTGAGAAGCCCAATCGGAGCCTGAGTCCTAGGTTTGTCCTGTTGGCAAACCTGGCAGGTTTCAACGTACTTTTCGCTTCGTGCATTATAGTGGGTCACAAAAATCTCTGCACTAGGTTAGCTGATGTCTTTTTATATCCAAAATGACCAGTTGCATCATGACATTCTCCTAAAAACAAACTACGTAAAAACTCTCTATCTAGGACACACAACCGTTTATTCGCTGCCTTCTCAAGAAATAGTAAGCCGTCTACCATCGTAAATTCATCAGAAGTTAATTTATCCTTCTCTTGAAATTTACCAATGATCTCAGGCATAACTGGATCTCGCTGATAGGCCTCCACCAAAGATCGAGTTAGATCGTCATATATGCCACATTCAATGACTAGCGCGCCCAGATAATTTGCCCTGCGGGATAGTGCATCAGACACCTTGTTATACTCTCCCTTGATTGGATCAAGTTGATACTGATACATGTCTATCACTTGAATCCATCGTTTGAGTGCGTCAGAGAGTACAGGTTGTATCTTGCCATCGCAAAGTCTCATGGTCAGACCTCAAGTAGAATCTGCCTAAGAGATAGTGTCTTGAGTGGACCAACGCTTTATATAGGACATATAGTTCAGGCTCATACGTGGACTTCGCTAGCTTTTGGGATGGCATCTTTTTGCTCATGTACTCGATTGGCCTCAACTTCTTCCTTTCCCTTCGTGCAAGGACCACGCCTATGCCATATTGGCTGGCGTCTGTGGTCACTACAAATGGCTGCTCAGGGTCCGAAAGTTTGAGGACTTTGTAGCGTGTCAAAACGTACTTCAATTTCTTGAAGCTTGCTTCACACTCTTCAGTCCACTCCCAAGGGGTGTCAAGGCGAGTAAACGGACGGTAATAGCCGCTCATCCCCAAAAAATGATCGGACCTCAGTAACGGTTTGAGGTCTGGGCCTGTCTCGTATGCTAGCCACTTTAGCATCGTCCGGCCTCAACCCATCCGCGGAGATTTGATGACCCAAGTACAAGATCTTGGTGCGACCGAACTCGCATTTCTCCAAGCTTACCTTGTACTGATGCTGTCTTAGGAGACCTAGCACTGTTTTCAAGTGCTCAGCGTGCTCCTCTACAGTCTTACTAAAGATAAGCATATCGTCGAGGTACACGACGATAAACTTGTTTAAGTAATCGTGAAAAATCCTATTCATTGTGTGTTGGAATGTTCCAGGGCATTGCATAGGCCAAAGGGCATCACCACAAACTCGTACAAATTGTACCTGGTCTGAAAGGTGGTTTTATGTTGGTCCTCAGGTCTAATAGCAATTTGATGATATCCGGACTTCAGATCTATCTTTGTGAAGTACCGACATCCTTGCACTCTATCCATTAGGTTGTCGATGCGGGGTAGGGGCTTTGCATTCTTTACAGTGATGGCATTGAGGCCCCTATAGTCAATGCACATCCTTAGGGTAACTTCCTTCTTAGGAACAAATAATATTGGCGCACCGTAAGGGGAGGTACTAGGTCGAATCCATCCAT